TGGACCTGCATGTTGTTCTTATTCAACCTATCCAGGTGTGAAGCCTCTTGCATCTGTGACCTGATGTCTTTCATCAGGTTCTCCCAGTGTTGCTCCTGCCCGTTGTCCTCCTCCAACCCAGGGCCCCAGACCTTCTCTCGTGCATTTGTCTTTCTGTGCTCTGTGCTAGATAGTCCTTTCTATATATTTTAGTGCATTAATACTCTTCAATTATATATAACATGCTATTAAATTCATCCATTCAGTTCTTTATTGGGGTATTATAGTTTCTGGCTTTAGAATTTCTACTTTTTAAAATAATTTCTAGTTTTTTGGTTAACATTCTTAATTCCATTTTCTGAATATATTAATCACAGCACTCTTTTTTTTTTTTTTTTAAGATTTTATCCATTTATTTGAGAGAGAGAGCACATGAGAGGGGGGAGGGTCAGAGGGAGAAGCAGACTCCCCGCCGAGCAGGGATCCCGATGCAGGACTCAATCCCGGACTCCAGGATCATGACCTGAGCCGAAGGCAGCCGCCAACCAGCTGAGCCTGATCACAGCACTCTTAAACTCTGTGTCTGAAAACTCTAGGAGTCCTGAGTCTGCTTCTCTAGACTGTTGTTTCTCTTGTTTTTCATGGTGTTGTCTCATCTCTTATGTCTGGTTGCTTTTGGTTGAGAACTGGACATTGTGTGTCAGAAACAGGAAATGATGAAAGGCTTGGAACCATGTTCTTCTTTTCTGCCCTCTGCCTCTCAAGTGTCCACCTCCCTGGTCCCTCTGCCATCCTTTAACTGACCACCTACCCAGCATAGCCTGAAGACCTGACTTGAGCCCTCTCCTCTGTAGGTGGACGATGAACTTGAAATCAAGGCCTACTATGCAGGCCACGTGCTGGGGGCAGCCATGTTCCAGATTAAAGTGGGCTCAGAGTCTGTGGTCTACACGGTCAGTGGAAACACTTGGGGCACAGGGGTACTGCTTGGCCGGGGAGAGGAGGCACCCGTTTTACTGCCACATTCTTTGCCAGGGTGATTATAATATGACCCCGGACCGGCATTTGGGGTGAGTAGGCTGATGTGTTTGTTTCATCCTGGGGGGACCCCCAGGAGTGCAGTGATGCTCGTGGATGTGCTGGGTGCTTGAGCAGTCTGTGCACTGGTTTCTGCCACGTGTCCTCTGTGCACGGCAGAGTCTCTTCCTCCTGTCTCCCTTAGTGTGCTGCTTGACAGAGGGTCCAGGGAAGCTGTGGCTGGGGTCCGTTGTGTTGCTCCTAGCCTTGCAGCCACGTGGATTGTCCACCTCCGGTCACGCCCACCTCTGTTATAGAGCTGCCTGGATTGACAAATGCCGCCCCAACCTGCTCATCACAGAATCTACATACGCCACAACCATCCGGGACTCCAAACGCTGCCGGGAGCGAGACTTTCTCAAGAAGGTCCACGAGGCCGTGGAACATGGCGGGAAGGTAACTGGAGCAGGCAGGGTGCCAGGCAGGGCTCTGGGCCATGTGCCCACCCTGACCGTGCTACACAGTCCTTCGGCAACCTCTGGCATGTCAGGAGATGGGTGCTGTGTGTTCTGGGCATGCAGGGAGGAAGATTTGCTCAGCGTTAGGAAGAAAAACTTCTCCGAAGACTAGAGGGTGTTTATTCACCCCTCACCTCAGATCCCAGACCAGGGCTGGCTGGAGTATCCACCATGGTCGTTTTGGGACAGACTGTGGCTGGAAGCAGGACTTGCGGGCAGAGTGTGGGCGCCTTACCTGTAGCTCACAAAGGGCCTCTGGCTCTCAGGGATGCCGGCAATGCCCTCTCGGTGGACGCAGCCTCTGACCCTCAGAGCTACCAGCGGGGCCAGTCTTTATAGCAGCTGCTCCCTGGGAAGCCAGCCACAGGGCACAGCTGCCTGCCCATTATGGTCGGATGCGGGCTCAACTTGGGTGGGCAGCATGGCCAGGGATTCCTGCCTGAGCCAGCCTTGTCGTCCCCCTGCAGGTGCTGATCCCTGTGTTTGCGCTGGGCCGAGCTCAGGAGCTCTGCATCCTGCTGGAGACGTTCTGGTAGGTGCAGCCCGATTGGTTTCTGGGAACCCTGGCCTGAGTGAGCATTAGTGGGATGCCGGTGTCCGGGTCCTCAGTCCAGCTCTGGGCAGAGCATAGGCTGAAGCCCTGGCAGCTGTCGGGTACAGTCAGGGTGCCTGATCTCCGGTGCCCACCCAAGCCAGGAGGCCTGTGTCATGCTGTTCCCCCCCCCCCCCGCCCCCACCCACGCTCTGTGTCCCTTCATCAGAACCAACGTGTTACAGAAGGAAGTAGGCTGAGGTGGGAGACATGCGGGAGTTGTTCCTCCTACCGGATACAACCCAGGCTGCGGGTGTGAGGGGTGACATGGGCCGCTCCTTCCCTGGCAGCCTCCTCCACTGTGTCCCTGCGCTGTCCACAGGGAGCGCATGAACCTCAAGGCCCCCATTTACTTCTCCACGGGCCTGACGGAGAAGGCCAACCACTACTATAAGCTCTTCATAACCTGGACCAACCAGAAGATCCGTAAGACCTTCGTGCAGAGGAACATGTTTGAGTTTAAGCACATCAAAGCCTTCGACCGAGCATTTGCGGACAACCCGGGTCCGATGGTGAGGTCCTGGCCAGGAGGGGCTGGGGATGGCTATCCTGTGCCTGCTGCAGCCAAGTCATGCCTGCCCCACGCTGGGGCATCTGGGGCCGGTGCTAACTGTCCACACGTGTGTACCTCCTCCACGTCTGGGACATGCGGGGGGACCTTGCCTGCAGGTCTCCCTCAGGGAGCGGGGTGCACTGTGCTGGGGAAAAGACGAGGGGAGGTCAGAAGGTAGGGCCTGTGGCGGGTGCAGGGTCAGAAGGCTCTGAGGGCAGAGGAGGGGCTGGACCCATGGCCAATACTGGTTCCCTGACAGACGGGTGCTGTGGTGCCCCTACCCCCACCCCCACCCCCACCCCACCCTTGCAGGTCGTGTTTGCCACACCAGGCATGCTGCATGCTGGCCAGTCCCTGCAGATCTTCCGGAAGTGGGCAGGGAATGAGAAGAACATGGTAAGAGGTGTAGCTCCCAGGAGGGCCTGTGAGGTTGGGCAGAGGTGGGGGAACAGGGGCTCTGCTTGGCTTGGGGACACTGCTGTTTGTCAGGACAGGGCTCGGTATCCTGGGGCCCGGTGTCTCACCCACGTGGCTCAGACTCTTGCTGTGTCAGTCTGTTGCATCAGGCAGTGAAGTCTTCTGGCCCCGAGCTGATGTGGTACTCGGCCTGGATGGGCTTGTGCCAAGACCCGAGACTGCTTGGGTCTGTAGTGGGGCCTGGGATAGGGAGCTGCTGGCAAAGGAAAGGGGCTGTTCAGGGTATAGGTTCTGATAGGCAGGAAGGGTAGGGTGGAGAAACCTACAGGGAGGAAGCCCCCCCGAAGCCGGACCTGGGGGGGGGCCGTGTTGCAGGGTGGCTGCCAGCTCCGTCCCCCTTCCCCCACAGGTCATCATGCCTGGCTACTGCGTGCAGGGCACTGTGGGCCACAAGATCCTCAGTGGGCAGCGCAAGCTGGAGATGGAGGGGCGGCAGGTGGTGAGTCCCCGCTTCCCCAGCAGCTCGGTGGGCCCCCTTTTGGGTTGGTGGGGAGCCCTTGGAGCCTGCTGCTCGTGGTAACGGCCTGTGTGCACTGTGATGCTGCAGTTGGAGGTCAAGATGCAGGTGGAGTACATGTCCTTCAGCGCCCATGCCGACGCCAAGGGCATCATGCAGCTGGTGGGCCAGGCAGAGCCCGAGAGTGTGCTGCTCGTACATGGGGAAGCCAAGAAGATGGAGTTCCTGAAGCAGAAGATCGAGCAGGAATTCCGTAGGCAGCCCAGGCATGGGGTGGGCTTGGCCGATACAGGGAATGTGTGCAGGGTCTACCCATGGGGTCAGCATGGGCAGGGCCCAATGGCCTGGACTGAGGCTCTCTGCCCCTCCCACTCTTGCCCAGGGGTCAACTGCTACATGCCAGCCAACGGTGAGACGGTGACGCTGCCCACAAGCCCCAGCATCCCCGTGGGCATCTCGCTGGGGCTGCTAAAGCGGGAGATGGCACAGGGTATGCAAGGCAGGGCACACTGGGCAGGGGAGGGCGGCGGCGCAGCAGGTGGGCAGCTCCCATCCCTGCCCCTTTCTCTGCAGGGCTGCTTCCTGACGCCAAGAAGCCCCGGCTCCTGCACGGCACTCTGATCATGAAGGACAGTGTGAGTGTGTGTGTGCTTGGGCGGGGGTGAGGGGTGCCCGGATGCCCCCTGACCTGCCCCTGCCCCGCAGAACTTCCGGCTCGTGTCCTCAGAGCAGGCCCTAAAGGAGCTGGGCCTGGCCGAGCACCAGCTGCGCTTCACCTGCCGTGTGCATCTCCACGACCCTCGCAAGGAGCAGGAGACGGCCATGCGGGTCTACAGCCACCTGAAGAGGTGGGTGCCCCCACTCCTGGCTCTGGGGGTGGTGAGAAGTGGGGCACAAGGTGGGGTCTCACTGTGCCTCCCCGCAGCGTCCTCAAGGACCACTGCGTGCAGCACCTTCCCGATGGGTCTGTGACCGTGGAGTCCATCCTCATCCAGGCTGCCGCCCACTCAGAGGACCCAGGCACCAAGGTGCTGCTGGTCTCCTGGACCTACCAGGTGAGTGGTGGGTCCCAGGGAGCCCTGTTCCTGGCGGGTCAGGATGGGTGGGGGCTGCCCAGCTGTGGTGGTTGGGGAAGATGCGATGACTTGCCTCCTTTTGTATCTGGTTGTAGGATGAAGAGCTGGGAAGTTACCTCACGTCACTGCTCAAGAAGGGCCTCCCCCAGGCCCCCAGCTGAGGTCAGCTGGTCACCAAAGGGACCTAGGCTTTCATCCAGGGCCATGTCTGTGCCTCAGCTCTTCCCTCTGTCCCCGGATGTGGAGCCCCCGGCTGCTCAGAGCCCTTGTCTGTGAGGACAGGACCACAGTGTCATGTGCCTGTTTGGCTGAGAAAAGAAAGAGGCCTGGGGACTTGATCACCCTTTATTTCTATTCCTGAGCCCCCAAGAGATGGGTGGATGCTCCTGAGGTATTAATTTCCAGTAAAAACTGCACCAAAGGCTGCATGGCTGTTCCCTTCTCGACGTGCAAACCCTCTTCCTGCAGTTCACCGGTAGCAGACCGGGGTGGCGGGAGGCAGGAGGCCTGTGTGGCATGCAGAGCTGGGCAGGGTCCAGCGGCAGGGCTGTGTGTGTCATGGCCACCCTGACCTCAGCTGGGCACCTGGGGGTGATCTGTGGCTTCCATGCGGTAAACACTGCAGGACACAGGAGGTTTTCTACAGAGGCTGGGCCTGGCCTTGGGTCCACAGCTTTAGCTGCGCTGCAGAGCCCCTGCCTTTCAAGCTGCTCCCTACTCCCTGAGAGGAGCCCCCTCAATCCCCCTCCTCTACTAGGAACATGATCCTAGAGCCCAGGTCGGGAGTATGGCTCAGGTCTAGGGATCCAGGGGAAGAGGTACCTTACTCCAGGCCTCCTGTTTTTGGCTTGCTGGTCTCCAGCTGGAGATTTTTTGGCCAACCTGAGGTTTCCTTGCCTTCCCGCTGAACAGAGGCTGGATTCCCACCTGCTAGCAGGACAGACGAGGGCTGTAGCTGTGCTGTTGCCAAGAGTCCCTCCTCCATCAAGCACCCAGCCTTAGGAGGGGTCAATCAGTGGGATGCACGCAGGCACCTTTCCAGGCAGCGAACTCTTACCAAGGCTCCCGTATAGCACTGACTTGAGGAATAAGCCATGGGCTGGGGCCACACGTGCCTGGTGCCTGCCCAGGGGGTCCCGGCTTTCCAGGATCACCTTCACCTGAGCAGGCATCAAAGCCCCCAGCCCCACAGCCACCAGCACAGATGTCATTCGCCGCACCTGCAACCCAAAGCCAAGAGTGCCTCAGGGGCCCAAACCCCGGGGGCCACCCCCACCCCCTGGAGGCCTAGGGCAGAGCCCACCTGTCTGTACAGGAAGGACTGGCTCTCAAACTCCAGGTTCCAGAATTGCAACCTAGAAATACAGGCACTTGTGATGCCTGGGCCAGAGCAGCCCGAGTCCACACTGTGGCCCCAGACAAGGAGGTGGGCAGGGGGAGGGGTCTGGGGGAGACTGGTTCCCACTCTCTGCCACCACAGGGGCTTCCACTGACCACCCTACCCTCAAGTGAAGCTGAGGGGAGGAACACTGTGAGTGGGAGGGGCAGCAGAACCTTCTAGGGACCTTGGCACTGGGGACAGGGCCCTCAGGTGGAGGTGCTAAGTAGGTCCTGGTGCAGGCTCTGGGGCAGCTGAGGGAGGTGAGCGTGGCGTTTATCTACCAGAGACACAAGCCTCAGGGGAGAGGCTCTGCAGCTGACCATGCAGAAATTCTTCCTTTCAGTGCTGGCTCAAACTGGGAAGGTTTTGGAAGTCAACAGCTGACATCTGGCCAGAGGCCCCAGGGACAGTGCCCGGGCAGTGGAACCAACCCCCTGCCAGGGAGGGCCCAAACCGCTAGCCTGGTGCTTCTCTTTCAGCAAAGCTTTTTCAGCAGCTAGGCAACCAACACTGAGCTGGGCAGGGCGGGAACCTAGGCTGGGGGGAGGGCACAGCTGCAGACTCATGGTTGTTGGGGTCATGCCACTCAGCTAACCAGTACCCCCCTTATGAGGGCTGATGGGTACCCAGGGAGCCCCCAACCCCAGCCGTGTCCTGCCTCTGCACGCCCTTTGCCAGGGAAGGTGCTAAATCCAGCTCCCCCAGCCTCTGGCCAGTGTGCAGGGTGCCCTTCCTTACCTGTTCTCCTGGGCAAGGACAAAGGGGCTGCCTGGGTCAGGGGACACGGAGGCTCGGCGCAGCGTGCGCACCGAGCTGGTGGCTGGGCTGCCAGCTGACTGGAAGGCACTGAAGTCATGTGTCCCGAGGAGGTGCTGGGCAGCTTCCCGCATGGCATCCACATCCAAGCAGCTGCAAGGAACCAGGTGACTGGTCAGGAGGGAGTAGCCAGCCAGGTGGGTCCGACAACCCTCTCCCACTCACGCACACCCACACTCACCCTGCCCGCAGTGCCCAGCATCGGTTTCGTTCAAACACTGACAGCTGGTCAGGCCGGTGGCAGCCTGTGACCAGGCGGTACAGGTAGGTCCTGGATGTGGCTGCATGGCGGGCATGGAAGTCACTGGGTACTCGGAAAGCCTGCACTATCCTGTGGGAGCAGGATTAGGCACACCAGAAGGATCCCTCCACTCACCCAAGTGACACCTTGGTATCTCTATCACTCCCAAAAAGCTTGTCCAGACACCAGGTCCTTCCCGACTTATGGCCTCCACCCACCACGGACCAGTCTGGAGACAGCAGATGCGTGCTCACCGGATGGCCGGGTGCTTCAGGTGGGCGTTGAGAGCCTCTGCCAGGACCTCTGGGGAGAAGGGGGGCTGGCCTGAGCGGCGCTGGACGTCCAGGTGAGCCGCGTTGCACAGGGCGTGGACCCCGGCATCCGTGCGGCTGGAGATAGTGAATTTGACCGGCACCACCGAATTCAGCCGCTTTGCAGCCTCCTGGGGGGACAGAGCCGCCTGGGGCGGGCTGGGCAGCGCGGGGCGAAGACCGGGGCCCAGAGGCGCGGGGGCTCCCATCTGCCCCTCCCTCGTGTCTGCCTCTTTCCATTCCGGGCGGCTGGCGGGCAGAGCTCACCTCCAGGTAGTTCTGGACCCCGACGGCGCGCTGGCAGCCTCTGACGGCCGCGACCCCGCTGTGGGCAGAGACCGGCTCAGGTTAGAGGGCGGAGTTTGGGCCCCGCCCCGCCCTCTGCGGCCCTCCGTGTCTGTTCCCTCCCCCAGGTGTCGGGCCTGGCTACCAGACGTGCGGGTCCTAAATTTAGCTCCCGCCCCCTCCCACGTCGGGCGCCTGGATACAGTTCGGGGCCGCGGGCACGGATGGGAGGTCCGGAAGACGTACTTAAAGTCCGTGCCCAAGTACTGGAAGTACACGAGGTAGCGCGCCGTCACCGAGCCTGCTGCAGGGCCCATGACCGGAGTCGGCGGACCGCGGCCGGGCTCACCGCGACCGGGCTCAGCGCGGCCTGGTTCAGCGGGGCCGCACGTGTGCCCAGCACGCGCGCCTGCGCGCGCGGGGAAAGCGATGTGGCCACGCCCCCGGCTGCGCCCGCGCCCGCGCCTGCGCCTTAGCGTTGGTCCCCGCCTCGGCAGTCCGGCACTCACCCGCCCTACGGCTGCTAGGGGCGGGAGCGGGGGCGGGGCCGAACTAAGGGATTGGGTGCAAACTGCTGAGTCGCAGAAGAGCCCGTGGGCCGGATTCCGACAGCGGCGCCCAGGAGGGGCTCCCGCGGCTGTGCACTCATTCATCCATCCTCTCAACCCGCTCACCCACGACCCACTGTTCTGGAGTGGGTCCGTCCCCACGTTCCGCGCAAGCGGTTTTTGCAAATGCGCCGAGTTGCGCAACGGCCGCATCGCTGGAGCGAGCAGTCTCGCGGCCTCCCCGCGCCCCGCGGACGGGCCGACTGTGGCTGGGTCCGACTTCCTTCCCAGGCCGCGGTGGCCTGGGAACTAGAGGTTGGGACGACGGGGCGTCCGGGCCGGAGCCAGGCGTGGCTGAGCCGCAGGGAGAGGCGTTTGGCGACGCTCCCCGGCCGTGACAGCGGGAGGCGCGCGCGGGCGGCGAACATTGGCGACGCTCCCCGGCCGTGACAGC